AATAAGAAAAATCAATATTTCAGTACAGCTACTAATCACATTCGAACTTTCAGCCGCCAAGGGCCATTTTCCAGGACTGGTGACTGTAGGTACACTTTTGACCAATCCATAGTACTGCTATACAAACAGAAGAAAAGCTGGTCGCACACCAGATTCTGCTGGGATAGTTTATGGAAACTTGTACCAGTTCACTGGTTTCCCACCCAAGGCCCACCTACCAGTGATGTGGTACAAGTTTCAATATACTTTCCCAGCGGAATTCGGTGTGAGGCCAGCTTTTCTTTTGCTTGTATGGGCTTATATTGAAGTGAGGACATGCTCCCAGTGACAAGCACTTAGTTTATTCCTTTCCTGAGCCATGGAGGAGTGGTGCTTCTTTTGTGTGTTCTCCTTCCATAGTACTGCTACTTTGATATGTGGAGCCCACAATGCCCCCTGACCAGTTCACAGTCATAAAAGCTCTTTGCCTATTTCTGGCAGTTATTAAGACTTCCCCTTGTTAAAAATATGGTTGCCAAATAAGTTAAATGAATGCAAAGGAAATAGTTCCTAGAGTTCATCAGACATGACTGGTGATCTGGAGGTGATACACTGCATGGGCTTCCCTATGATGATTATATCCTGGGAGAAAGATTGTTGTAGGTGGACATTTAGCATAGTGCAGAACCAAATGATAACTGTACCCCTTTCTAATTAGTTTTTATCATACGGTCATTGTGTGTCAAAGCCTAGGGTAATGAGGTAGGGCAGGTCTGATATATGAAATGGTTACATTTCATGTTGTGTATAGCAACCAATCATCATAAATGTGTACAGTCCAGGTTTCAAAATAATTCAAGAAAGCTGATTGGCTCATATGGACAAAAATAAATTATTTTCATACACTAGACCCTACATGCTGTCTTTGCTTTGTGTACTTTACTTGATTTTTTTTTTGTTGCCCATGTTTGGTTACTATAGGAAACCTACAGTCAAATCCAATAAAAGAGCTGGGGTGAGGGCTGCTAAATAAAATTTAAAGACTATAGGCTTAATAAAGCTTTACACAAGCATAAGGCACTCTATTTTTTTGTCATGTGACTGTCATGTGAAATCTCACTGGAATCAACTGAAAATATCTATCCTTGTGGTGGTGTGTTAGCTTATGAATTGTGTCGATTGCATATTATAAAAAGCAAAATAACATCACTATGTAAGTACCTGTTTGAGAGACTTTGAAGTCACAATACGTGTCACTTTGTCTCACTTTCATACATGTGTTAACGTTCAAATAGTCACACAGCATGGATGTGGTGAAAAGGGTGGCCATTGTATGGAAGGTTGGATTCATTCTTACATGTTTAAAAGGCAACTTAAGCCAAACCTTTTTTTGGCTTTAGTTGTCTTTTGGGTCATAGACATACATTTACTAATGCACTTCTATGACCCAAACTCAGCATATAGCGGGCTACTGCCTGTTATTTGCTGACAGCACAGAGCTGCACTGCACCCGGAAAAGATCCAGACAATATTGTTGGGTTCTACTCTGCTGCCTGATTGACATCTGGCTCTGCCTTTCTAGAGCCAGCTGTGCCCACTCCTCCTCTATCTGTCCCTTCAGTGAGTGCTGGAGGAACAGAGGGGAATCCCTGCAGGGAAAGGTGGGGAGAAGACCGTAAGCTAAGTGATCAGCAGTAGGTGATCACTCGGCTCTCAATCTATAGAGCTGCCATGTGATACCTGCAGCGTTCCACACCAGCACAAATGATTGAAAAGAGTATATTTTACTCACCCAGTACTTCTCTATTAAGTAACCATGAGCCCTAAATACTACCTGGCGAACCTTTGTTTTAAATACCATAGGCAATAATGATATCAGTTGGTAATGTAAGGGGAAAAAAGTAACATTAACCTTAAGTATTCATTTGGTTATTTGGTTAGGCACTTATTTGGTTATTTGGTTATTTGGTTAAAAACACTTAATATCCAAGTTATAAATCTGATTTAAAAAAAAATAATTATAACAACAATGAAGCAGCGGAATGCAGCTTCAATAAAGAGAAATTGTCTTCTGGAGTCTCCTCAGCAATAGACATTTACAAAAGTGTTGATCTCCTGTGTCCTATTGCACTCAGTGGTTCATCCCACCAACTCCTATGTCAATATGGTGTCCTCTAGTGATGTGGAGGTTTTTGGGAGGAACCACTGAGTTCAGGTGGTGGGGAGAAGATAGATTTCCAAAACAAACACTTTTGGGAGTTTCAATTAACATACCACAGTCCTTTGCATAACATAAATTAGACTGTGAGATTGAAGTTAGTCACTGCAAGCCATTTGTGCTTATTGCCTTGCACAATGCTGATGTTGTCAAGCACTGGGTGCTACAGGGGGCAGCAGCACAAGGTAAACCTTATCAGTGTAATGGTTCTCAAGTGACCACGGAAATGCAATGCTGCATTGATGAGTAGTGGTGCTACCATTCTGGCTTTGCATTATGTCAGCAATGTGTGACTCACAAGTGTCTAACAAAAATTACAACATTTTGGAAAATCAAGCAGTTCATATCTATGTTTTTCCATTTATGCGTTCCGCTATGTAGCTGCTTTCCTGCTCTAAGCTGTCGGTTTTACATTATCACAGCTACTTTTGGCAAAAAAGCCATGGTCCTTACATTTTAAATTGATGCCGTTTCTAAAATTGCATTCTTAATAATGACATTTGATGGCGCTACAGGTGAAGCAGCCATAGAAAAAATGCATAATATCTCTGTTTATGAAATAGAAATTGTAGTGAACATGCATGCATTCAGTGGGTTTGAGTTACAAAAGTATAAGGCATGTTCACTTTTTACTGAATAGAGTAAAGCTATGGTCACATTGAAAACCCAATTATATGCAAGGAATTATTATTTTTTTTAAATGATTGTTTGCTCAGGATTGGATGACTGAAGTACACACACCTTATTCAGTAAGACGAGTTAAAGTAGTATTAAACTCTCAAAAACTTTTTTTAAATAATGAATCTAAAGCAAACAAATATACTGTGCATTGCCCCGTAAACTATTTTTTACATTTTTTCCAAGCACTTGCAGTCATGTTTCCGAACAACTGGCTCCAACTCTCTCAGCTCCACTCCCCTGAACTTCCTTTCCAGTACAAACTCACAAGGGACAGTACAGTCTCCTGCAGCTGTTCGTCCACTAGCTTGGAGAAAGGAGAACAAAGGAAAGAGGAGAGGGGAGGAGCAGGGGAGTGGTTTGCCTTGCTGTGCCTGTGTATTTGTGGAGAAACACACAGCTTACTAGCACACACGAGGGTGGCAAGTGATTTAATCAGCATTTGAAATAGATTAAAGACCGTTTTACTTTAATTTCACTTTAAGATTTACTTTACTTCTTTGGTAAGTCAACTCCACTGATGCTTGTATGTTGACCTCAAATTCTATTTCATGACTAGAGATATAATAGATACATTTATGTCATGCCTACTTCGTCTGTAGTATCTGTAGTCACTCAGCCAAGGGAACACTCACTACTTCTTTATTATACGATGCTCGCTGTATAAATTACATATAAGGCAGTGATATAAAGGCAAATCACTACCTTATATAGTCATATATGGAAATACAATTCCAATTGCCACTTTGCTTCCTTGCACAACAAAAATTACATAGAATGTCACTTAGTCCAGTTTTTGTACACGTAGTAATACTTTATATATTAAACTTTTTAGAACAAAAATAGACACTGTATCATACGGTTTACTTTTCTAGAATATATCAGAAATTGTTATGCAGCCAGGAAGAGGAGGCCTTTATGGCTTTTTTCATGTTAAGTAGGTTTCTTGTTTTACGGATACCATAGCAATCACAATGGCTGCTATGGGTATGTTTACAACCTTGAATTTGAGTTTGCAGACACTCTGTCCTAACTGAACATGACAAGCAACTACTGTTACACTTTTTAAAAGACATTTAATGTTTGGAATTGTTGATGCTGCCATTGCTTAACTCTCCTTTAAAAAACTCTACTTCCCTGGTTGTCCTTTCAATTTAATGACTTCCGTATTCTTTCTGAGGGCACTGATTCCAAACAAGCATTTAGATTGTGAGTTCTGACTTTTCCTGATCTGAATGCTTGTTCCAGTTCAGTGACACAGAAAGTATTACAGACAGGCAACTAGCATTTTCAGAAGGAGCTTAGCAATGGCAAGCCACTATATTTCTCCTAGTAAAATCTCTGTTAATTTACTGAAAGATTGAAATGCTCATTAACCAAAAGAATGGATACAAACAATACATTAGGATAATTCTTAACAGAGAATATACTGCTATCATTTAATTAGCTACCTTGCCTCCAAAATACAAGAGAAAAACCTTCCATCTAATGGATATAGATTAATTTGGTTAGCACATGTATTGAATAAAGCACATAGCAATGTATATAGTGCAGTATTCCACACACACAAAAAAAATCGGCAGTTGCAGCTGCTTAAAAGTGAAATCTAAATAGTTGCTATAGACAACTACTTAGCATTGCTCCTACAATACTTCATTATATTAGCTAATGAGGAATAATTATCTTATTTTTGGCATATGTGATGGAATGGATTTTGTGAATACCTTCTGTTCTGTTGTGCATTAACTCAGTAATTATATTTGTAGGTAAATAAAAGCTGTGGCTATCAGGTCCAACCTTTACTACCTGTGGCTGGCTTGATGCAGTAGAATATGAAACTAATAGTGGAGAATCCATCATAATTCCACATATGCCAGGTACATTGTTACTCTTAACCAATCGCACCAACCAGCAAATTCATTCAATACATTACCTTTTCTATTAATACATGCAATACATCCGAATTTAAACTCAATAACTTGTGAACTCAGCCATAAAGTACTGCAGACATATTACAAATATCTAAATATAGAAACTCTTGCATGGGGGGATAATCAGATAATTGTACAACCAGATAGATATTATTTATATGCTTGCATTTAGAACTAATATGATCTAGACTTACCTATGCACTGAACCAGTGTGGTCAGCCCTATTGTCAGAATTATCCACAGAACCATTGCTGCATTACGTCCTATAACTTAACTCCATGCACCTGTGTGGAATGACATAAAGAACCTAATCTGGTTTCAGGTAAGTCTTGGCTTCCTTATTCACACATCAGTTGAGTGAAGCAGAACAGGGCCTCCACACAATGACAATATATTCTACTGCTCATCACACCCCAGTGTGAATGCGACATCTGTTTTTCTAATTTTTTCCTTTCCATATCTCCGCCTTTATCTTACAAAATCTGTCACACTATAGGCTTTCATTCAGCCCTACCACATACTAGGCAGGAAATCAGGCTGATGACTTCAACTTTTCTACTCAACATTTTAAGCACAAACAAGACTTCATGTGATAGACGAATTATATATTATTTTCATTTCCTCATTGTTTTACCTCTTTCCAGTCAATAGCTTTTAGTTTATAAGAAACACAAAACCAAAAGAGTTAACTGTGACTTTCCTGCAGTTAGTGCCATCAAGGTTGGCCTGGACAACATATGCACAGGAATTCAGCCTACACAATGATATTGATTTTTACATCACCTCATATGTTTAGAAAAAAGTATGTGTTGGCATGATCATATCACATTGGTACAAGTTATTTGTCACGGTCTGGGGACCGGGGCACTAGGGTACGTGAACCCCGGGGGTTTGAGGAGTTGGTAGGAGTCACAGACAGGAGGGATATCTGGGATATTGGTCACAGGGAGAGAGGAACTAATGGTCTGTGCGTTCCCAGGACGCGCTAGAGGAGCAGAATCTAAGAAGGGCCAGGTATTCGACAGAGCCTCTAGTGGTGAGGATGATTGGCTGTTGGACACCTTGAAGCACAGGGGAACTGGATACAAAGAACAGGTAGGGATGACACTTGTAACCAAAAGGAGGAAGATAGGAACAGTAGCACACAATGAAAGAGAAAGGCACAAGTAAATGCCCAAGACGCACAGCAGAGGAAATACTGAAGAGAGTAGCCAAGCAAGGACTTGGGAAGCCAAAGGCACAAGGATCCAAAAGTAAGCGCAGGGAATAAGATCCCAGGGATAGTTAGAGACACAAGGGGTACGGAACAAGGCATAAGACTTGTTGCTCGCACGAAGAGCAACAAGTGAGGAAGTCCTAAATATGGGAGGAGGAGAGCAGATTGGCTGCAGCCTTGTGAGACACCATAGGCTGACAGCCCAGAACCAGGGAGCAAAGAGAAAATCTGGCACGGATTTCCGGATATTGTGACATTATTGAGACTCTATTGACACTATTAAGCCAGGGGCCGATAGAACAACAGAGACATGTATTATCAGAATAGAATATAATATATAGATGCAATCCTACGGTGACAAAATCAGGACCTTTACTAATTCCAACACATAGAGCAATATAGCACTATCAGATAACTTTACGTCTTTTACAATGCAAAGAAAACATACACTGCTTAAATTCTCATAAGAGCTCACTTCAATCACGTAGTCAAATGAGATTGTGCATTACTTTAAATTATGAACCCCACCTTGAAATTTCCACAGAAGGAGTGCAGAAGGAGTTCGACTCAGCCGAGTGCAGAAGTAGTTCGACTCAGCCGATCCAACATCTGGATCGGTTAAGCCGGACCTCCGGCAGGCTACTCACTGCTGTTCGGCCTATTCTTATAGATGCCGAACAGCAGTGAGTGAATAGCCAAATGCCGCTGAGCAGCATTCAGTTCGGCTGTTCTGCTCGGTCCCTCTGTGGGACCAAGCAGAACAGAAAAATAGTTTAAAAAGTAGAAAAAAATAAATAGAAAACGATTGTGCGGAGCTAGCATTGACAGCTGTTTTCTATTGGCCGGCGGTTCTGCTGCCGTCAAAAAAAATTAAAATTAAAATTTTCGCCATAGGAATGCATTGCTAGATTCCTGTTTGCTATTTCAATTTGCAATAGCCAATAGCAAACCAGCTATTGCAGCCGCCCTCTGCTGCTGTCAATCACTAGTGGGGACCTGATGGAGAAGTGTGGGTCCCCTCTGCTGATTGACAGCAGCAATGGGTGAGTGCAATAGCTAGTTTGCTATTGGCTATTGCAAATTGAAATAGCCAATAGGAATCTAGCAATGCATTCCTATGGTGAAATATTTTTTTTTTTATACTGACGACAGCCAACGGCTCTGTGTCAGAATAAAAAAAAAAAAAAGCAGTGTTTCTCCCCTGGGTGGCCGGGAGCGGGAGACTCCCGGAGCGCCCGGGAGAGTTTGCTGTCTGGAGATCAGTGTCCCTGGTTAGCTGGTAACCAGGGGCGCTGATCTCTCTGCAAGTGGCCGGAGCCAGCCATAAGATCACGGCTGGCTCTGCCCAGCTGTCAGAAGCAGGCTGTCCAGCTTGGCCAGCTTCGGCTTTCACCTCGGCTTAGTCGAGCCGAAGCATATGCCTTCGGCTCGACTGAGCCGCTCGGCCGACTTCGGGAGCTGTACGGGCTATAGTGAATAGCCCGTACAGCACCCCTTCGGTTCTACTGAACCAAAGGGGTCCTGGGGCCGAAGCTAGCCGAAGGATCAGCCGAAGCTACGGCTAGATCCTTCGGCTGCTTCGTGAATAGACCCCTTGGTTTCTGCAGAATCAGCTGGTGCCCTGAGCACTGGGCCTAATATCAGGTGGCTTTTTTCTCTTCCATTGTCCTATGGAGTCACCCTTGTGTGTACTAGTAGTAGTGTGTGCCCACACAAACGCACGGCAAGGCAAGCCACTGCCCTACTCTCTTCTCCCCACTGCTCCTTCCTCCCTCACTCCTTTCTCCAAGCTAGAAGAGAGCTGCTGGAAGCTGGTCTGATCCTAGTGATCTTGTACTGGACAAGAAGTTCAAAGAAACTGAGCTGAGAGAGTTGGAGCTGTTTGGAAACATGTTGACTGTAAGTAGTTGGGCAAAAATTAACAGAAATATTTGCTGGGCAATGTATATTTGTTTTATCTGGATTCATTATTGAAAACATTTTTTAGTTTAATCCTACTTTCTGTTGAATGATTGTATCACTTACAATTGTTTTAAGTATTTTAAGCTTTGTCACGTATTATAAAATATCTTCACTAATATCTATGGCTAAAAGGCAAAGTGATTGGTGCTGGTTTCCCCACCAACTCCAGTCCCTTCCAACCAGAATCCTCCTCTGTAGCTTTTCTGTTAATCTTGAAGCTCATACTTGGCTATAAGAAGGTTCTGCTTCATAAAAACAACTGGACCATAAATCACTCCACTTAAACCTTCTATTCATGTTCATAACTATGGAAAATATGCTTGACATACTTTTTCTACATTTACTTGCAGGCCAAGCTATCCAGGAAAAGTGAAAGTTATAGAGGTTAGGACAAACTATCATAATGGGTTACACCAGTCAGCTTTTATTCATATGGTTGAAACCTGTTTCCAAAAGAAAAACAACTGTTGCTGTAACTTCTTTGTCCTTTAGGGTGACAATACTGTATTGATTTCATTGTTCTTGTTACTGTAAATGGGAAAATCAACTGATCTTCTGACAGTTTTAACTAGTAATAAAACTATATTATGGTGGGAACTGTGTTATGGGGTAAAACAGAGACTCCTTTGCAAATGCTAGTGTAGGACTGCATCATATACTGAGAAGGGAATTTATTAAAAAAAATGGAGCAGACAGAATTTGAAGCAGTTGCCCATGGCAACCAAGCCGCTTTTACCTTTCGTTTTGAAAGCTTAACTGAACAAACTGTATAGAGAAGCTGATTGGTTGCCATGGGCAACTGCGTCCAGATTTTGTCTGCTCTGGTTTTGATAAATTCCCTCCTGTATGTTTTTTTATTGTTTTCTTTTGTCCATGTTTCTACTATAAATCCTTTGATGAGCTGTGCTGAGATACAGTATTATTATATACCAAAAGTTATTACAGAATAATCTGTGAAGGTTCTCCCTTATCCAGGTCATGGTATATCTGTAAAAAATAAGTCAAGGCAACTGGACTTGCTGTATTATACAGCAAGTCCAGTTGCCTTGACTTATTTTTTTTACAGATTACATAATAGTGTTCGTTGACATTTAATTACATTTTTTACATAATAGAACTGCAAAGTATCAACGCAAACATGAAGCACGGTTATCTCTGGAAGTATAAGAAAAGAACAAACCTTACAAATATGAAATCAGATTAAGTAAAAATAGATCTTCCATTTATTGTATATTTCATAACATGTAAACGCTTATCAAAACCACAGAGTACAACTTCATTCAGTCTCCAACGTATCACTCTTTGATGTTACAATCTCTTACATAAACCATTGCAACTGTTTGCTTCTTACTGGAATCCGCCCACCTGCACGGTTAGATATGTTCAGCAGGTTTAATAGCGTCCTCACATATCATGTTGTAACCAAGAAATAAAATGAGTGAAGTGTATTCATTTCTAAATGCACTAAGAATATCTGAATTCTATTAGCATTTGATGCTAAGAAACAAATAAGGATTTTGTCAGTGGACAATACATAGAGAATAGACAAACTAAGGCCCCTTTCACATGGTCTGATCAGGAGGGGATCCATGCACAGATCCCCTGCTGACCCGAACAGATGTCACTGTTGTGACATACGTGTCTGTCCAGTTTTTTCCTCTATCAATGCAATGCAATCCTTGTTGGTCTAAGGGGAATTGGATGTGATTGACTTGTGTCCATTTACATCAGATAGCCCCTAAACTGGCAAGCTCAGGTCCAGAAAAATGGAACTCTGATCCATATGTTTTTCTGGACCCAACCAGAGCCTGGGGTAACCGTCCGTTTACAGTATATTCGACTGCCCAAAGACTAATATTGGTCTTCTGATCAGGTCTGCCTGAAAAAGTGACAGGCGCACCTGATCAGAATGGCCGTGTGAAAGGGCTCTAACTCTATGATGTATATGCAGCATTTACACAAAAAGGCATGAATGAAGATTGTTGCCAGTTTTTCCATTTCAGTATTTTAAACATTTTTTTTTTGTGTGTGTAATTAATAACACTTCCCCTTTTCATGCTATTTAATCACTGACTTTTTTAGTCTCTTAAATCCAAAGCCCCCCTAAAGTATTTTTGTTTTTCAGGTTTGGATTACATAGGGGTCTATTCACAAAGCTGCCGAAGGATCTGGCATAGT